TGTGTGTGTGTGTGTGTGTGTGTGTGTGTGTGTGTGCATGGAGAGAGAGAGCCAGGCTGCTGCGAAGAACAGGATGTGCCGGCTTTTCCCTTCAGGGTTGGTTAAATCGATTGCAGGAGAAAGTGCTGAAGTAGCGGTCCCGGCTCCCTCCAATGCAGAGGCTGCGCCTGGGTGAGTCACGGAGCCCGGGACGCAGGACGGAGACTGCTGACTCCAGGCGTCAGGCAGACACTTAGATCATGAGGGGAAGGGGGTGCCGCAGCGCACATGCACCGCTCACCTTGAGCCTGCTGCAGAAGGCAGGGCCTGCGCTGCCGCCCGCGAGGGGGGCACCTGCTGCAGGCAGGGGGACCCTGCAAGGAGACCAGGGCATGCTCTTCTTGACCCTGGCATGCATTACACACCTCGTGCCTCAGTTTCCCCCACTGGTTCCGGGCCAGGGCCCTGCTGGGAGGATGCAGCCCCCTCTGCAACACTGCCATGGTTGTGGGGAGCCAGGGAGCTGCTGTGGGCTCCCCCGCCACAGAAGTCCAGGAGCCACCGGAGCAGGAGACCAGCCCGTGCCCACTGCAACGCTGCCCACGGCAGCGCTTTACGTAAGAGGAGGCATTAACCCAGATTTGCTGGGCAGAGGCCAACCCGCACGGCATCTCCCTCTGCCAGCATCCCGGGGCCGGCTGCCCGGCCTGCAGGAGGCTTTGCCGCGGCCTCTGCTGAGCTCTGCCGCTGGCACCCACCCCAGAGGCGGCTGCATTTCGGGGCTGGTCAAGCCCCGGGCTCCTCGCCATGCCTGGCTGCTAGGCCTGGAGCTGGGAGAGCCGGCGGGCAGCAGCCTGGAGCACAGTGAGGGGTCACGATGACTCCCCCACAGTGTGCTCAGTAGGGGCAAGCCCTGTCCCCCTGCCCTCTCCAGCCCAGGGGTGCTGGAGCCAGGACACAACATGGGGCATGGGACAAGCATCCTCTGTCGGCGCCAGCTGCAGCCTCCTGGCCAGCTTTCAAGCCGGGCAGCTGCTCTCTGCCTCCCTTGCACAGGTATTTCCCAGCCCCGAAGCAGCCGCCTGCTCCACCCCAGAGGTGGCTGCATTGCAGCACTGGGCTGCTCAGTGCCTGGAGCGGAGCGGCAGCGGGGCCATGACCCCAGCAAGAGGGGACGGCAGAGGGGGGCTGCAGGCCATGGGAAGGGGGGTCTTTCCCCTGCTTCCTGCCCTCCAGCACCTGCTCCCTGCCCCACGCAGGATGCATGGAGATGCCCCTGAGCCCCTTCCCTTGCAGGCTGCCATGCACCCTCTCCCACGTGCGCACACAGGCGTGCCCCCCACTGCCACGTGCACCCACGCCTGCTCCCAGCTGCCTCGCTCCCCTCCACGCCTGACCTGTGGAGCCTGCTTCCCTTCCCACCAAGGGGGCCAAGCCCCAGGCCTGGGGGCTCCCGTCCCTTCCCCTGCCCTCCCCACTCCACCCACCCGCGAGTGCTGGGGTCGAGGAACAATGCCAGGGCCCTTCCCAGGATCGGGCAGGCAGTGCCAGGGGGCCTGCCCGGCCTCCCCGCACGCGGGGTGGGGGCAGGGGAGCTCCTTTGGGGGGAAACAAAGACAGCAGCAGGCGACGCGGGGTCGTTGCATTTTGTCTCTTTTATTGTGAAGTGCGCCGAGGCCGGTGCCCTTGTGCTTACTGGAATATCATCCAAAGACTGGCTCCGAAAAAGGGGTCCCCGGGAAAAGGCTCCAGGAACAGGGTTTAGATTCTTTACAGCTTGTAAAAATCATGTAAATTGGGGTTTTTTTGTTTTTTTGTTTTTTCTCTCCAAACGGGTATTTACAAGGCAGCGGCCACCTACGGGCTCCTTTTTTTTTTTTTTTTTCTTCTTTTTTTTTCTTTTTTTTTTTCTAGTCTTAAGTTATATGCTGCGTCGTATTGGTATTGTTCGTTAGCTGAAGTACAAAAACCAGAGGTCTAGCTAATACAAGGCCCTTCTACCTGAATTCTAGTAAGGTTTATTTTTTGTGGTCTTTTTTTTTGTCTTTTTTGTCTTTTTTTTTTTTGTGCTGCTTTAAGTTATTCATAAAATGGAAAGACTAAAAGAGGAAGAGGAGGAGGAAGGAGGAAGAGGAGGAGGA